ATAATAATAATAATAATAATAATAATAATAATAATAATAATAATATAGCATTCTTTTATCTATGGTAATAGTTTTTATTTGACCTCAGCAAGCTTGTCCAATACGTAAAGTAGTACTGTATGCAGCGCTATATCACACTTCTTACAGTCTAAAAATATGTAGTCCACCCATCCCTCTCTTTCCTGACTGACCTTTGTTAATTTGTTATATTTCTTTGTAAGTCACGACCTTCCATTACTAAATCCACGTTGGCGTTCTCTCAAGAATTTACTTCTTTTATGATGTTTATCATGTTACACTCTGTGAGGACGATGCTCTGTGCGTGATCACTTGCCTTTACTGAATACTGATATTACGTTTGTTATCTTCGAGTCGTCTGGCAATTCGTGGGTCAGTAATGACTTGTGTGGGTGCCATGTATAGTGTTTCAACTGGTAATGCTCGTGGTGATATTCTGGTCCTGATGCCTTTGTGGTAAATGTTATCAGGTATTTCTTTACTTCCTAATTTGTGGCTTCAAGGCAGCATAACTCTGCTTCCTTATGTCCCTGGTAATGGTTCTCTTTCATTAGTAAAGACGCGATAAAATCTTCCGATAGCTCGCTGAATAATTACATTATTTCCTGAAAGTGTTCGCTGTTCTTTTGCAGCGTTACATTTTCAACCTTTAATGTCATTTTTCTTCTAGTGCGACTTTGTTTTTGTGACTTCAGCCTCCCTCCTCACCCGAAAAGAGTCAATTATGATTTTTTCGATACCTTGCCTGTTCTCTGACATCAGATATGATCTTTTTTCCCCTGTTTATTTGTTCGTGTTTCTGGTTTTTGTCTCTTTACATTACGATCAAGCCTTGAGTTCTTTCAGTGTCTGCTGTCTATTATCCCAAAGGTTGATATAAACTTGTGTGTCATTTCTCAGTACTTCTAGATGAAAATCTTCGTCATTACCTGACTGGGCTGTTCCCTCAATTCATCAACCCCTTTGTGCTTGTGCCAGAAAATGCCCACTCCATCATCATCCTATATACATATCAGTTTCATCCATTTTCAATTTCTCCTTACTTTAGCTTCCTTTAGGTAGCAGAATGTCAACACAGAGTGAGTGCTTTGTTCTAAGGGTAATTTACTTCTTTTCTATGCCAGTTTTACTGGAGGTAAAGATAAGATTCAGCCATACCAGCTCCTCACTGCCTCTTACTCTCGTTGCTTAAGGAAGTTCTACATTACATATTTAAGAAGCTTTCTTCTCTACGTCTCTAGTATCCTCACATGCGCTTCCTTTCTTCCAGCTTATATCTCCATGGCTGAAATATTGCACTTTCATTACGTTAGCCTTTGTTCTGGTTGCTGCTTCTGCAATCTGTTAACATTGTTTATCGCTGCAACAATACCTTCGGACCTCCTGTAGTGACTGACCCCCTTATATAACCCGAGAACTAAACAAAGCTTGTAACTGACTCTTCCCATGTCAACAAGTTTTAGATCCGAAACGCTGCTGCTCCTGACCTATTTCTCTTCTTTCATCATCATTATGGAATATCCTCTGGGGAACACCTCACATGTAACCCCGCCAGTTAGTTTAGTCTCTGTGATCACGACGAGGCAGGTATTTTTTCATTTTTTAGTGCCATTTAATTGTTATTTTTATCAGTTGTTCCATCTATGTGATTGATAAATTAGACACATGTGCAACTCTTGGGTATCTTTATTGAGGAAACGTTTCGCCACACAGTGGCTTCATCAGTCCATACATAGGAGAAACTTGAAGAACAGGAGGAGAATGAGGTAATCAGTCCCTCAACCTTGAGTCGATGTGGTCAGTCCATCAATCTTGAATAGAATACGGCATATGAGCGGAGAAGCAGCTTATAAACCGTAGGCAGGAGAGGTGCAGCAGTCGTAGGTGGTGTCACATTTGTTCAATGTGGAAGTAGGTCGTGCCCAAGTGTTAGGCAAGCAAAGAATTCCCAAGTATTAAGATCCCAAGAAGTTGCAGTGTCATCTACAATCTATGTGATTGTAGGTTCAGGTCAGAATGGGAATGAGTTGGGTGAATGTATAAAGTCTGAATGACAGGTGACTGAGTGAATGTGGTTAAATACTCAGGAGTGACTTTACATACATTAATTTGACTAACATTCGTGTGTGTTGTGAATGTTTCTGATTCCTGTCTCTCTGCTCCTTTGTCATCATCTCTAAGATCCATTCCAATTGTTTCTTTAAACTCGTTTACGCATTCTCTGTCACATATTCATCACTTATTCTTCTATCTCCTTTTACTTTTACAGGCTGCGTGGGTTGTGACGGCTGCATGGGTTGTGACAGCCGTCACAACCCATGCAGCCGTCACAACCCACGCAG